GGGTTACCAGTGTTTTAGAAATTACAGCTTAAAGAGATTAAATATTTAAAAGACAATACAAAAACATTTGGTTCAACAACTGAATTTATTTAAAATTAATGGATGTGATATTTCAAGAGCCAAACAAGTTTCTTTGACAGTAATGCACAAATAATTTTAAAAATGCATATACTGAACACATTTCAATAAAGTTTCTTAATAAGAGAAATAAAGAATTTATGACAGGAATGTTATAATGTGCTAAGTTGAAAGTTATTAATACACATGACCAATGTAATTTTTCTTGTTTTTGGTTAGATAAAATATATTTTAATTTAAATATTATGACATGTACAGTGAATGCCAAAAATAACTATTTACTAATGTCAAAGTAAATCTAATTGGTTCAATAAGGTCAAATATGCAGCTGGCACCTTATATATTTCATTTACCTTCAGGACATGGCTACCCACAGTTTACTGTTCTTTATAGCTCTTCATTAATTTTGTCCTAAACCCTGTTCTGCTATTCATTCACTCAAGCTTACTATGTAGGTTATGCATTTTTCCCACTGTCCCTCTTAACTGTCATGTGAGTATCAAATTTTCCAAGCCATCTTTCCTCATTATGTGCTTTATAAATTTAAACTATCTCTTCTTGATGTCAAGTATAAGTGTTCTTTTTGCTTCTTTTTTCTCTAAAACTTTGTTGTTGCTCACATGGATTTTCAGCATCTTTCCGCAGAACCAGATTTCTGTTGCTTCAAGTCTCTTCTTCATCTGTGAGGAGATTGTCCAGCATTCACTGTCATATAGGAGGACTGATATTACATAACAGTCCAGGACTTTTTCTATTGCTTACTGTATCTGTGAAACACATTTCTTTTTTAGATTTCTATTGCTTCAAGTCTCTTCTTCATCTGTGAGGAGATTGTCCAGCATTCACTGTCATATAGGAGGACTGATATTACATAACAGTCCAGGACTCTTTTTTTTGTAGAAACACATTTCCTATTGCTTCAAGTCTCTTCTTCATCTGTGAGGAGATTGTCCAGCATTCACTGTCATATAGGAGGACTGATATTACATAACAGTCCAGGACTCTTTTCTTTGTAGAAACACATTTCTATTGCTTCAAGTCTCTTCTTCATCTGTGAGGAGATTGTCCAGCATTCACTGTCATATAGGAGGACTGATATTACATAACAGTCCAGGACTCTTTGTAGAAACACATTTCTATTGCTTCAAGTCTCTTCTTCATCTCTGAGGAAATTGTCCAGCATTCACTGTCATATAGGAGGACTGATATTACATAACAGTCCAGGACTCTTTGTAGAAACACATTTCTATTGCTTCAAGTCTCTTCTTCATCTGTGAGGAGATTGTCCAGCATTCACTGTCATATAGGAGGACTGATATTACATAACAGTCCAGGACTCTTTTCTTTGTAGAAACACATTTCTATTGCTTCAAGTCTCTTCTTCATCTCTGAGGATATTATACAGCATTGACTGCCATATAGGAGGATTGATATTATGTAACAGTTCAGTAATCTTTTCTTTGTTTCTAATGAAATCTTTCCTGTTTCATAAGACTTTGTTTAGCTTTTGGAAAGCAACTTCTGTTATCCTAATGATGATCCTGATTTCAATGTTCTATTTACTGTTAAAACATTTAACTTGCTGTACTGGTTCAATTTTGGTACTTCCAGTCTGCAATCTACATGTTGGGCTGTTCTGGCAACCATGCATTCTACCTTCTTGCAATTGATGTTTATTCTTTCTTTTCACTTTCTTTCACTTCCTTCTGCAGGAGGTCTTGTAGTTTTCTTTTCTGTGTTTGCTGTCAACATTGTACCATATGCATATCTTATATTGTTAAGATTGTGGCTGCCAATAATGAATTTTGGTAAGACTTGAATTCTCTCAGAATTGCCTTGCTGTAAAGGTTGAATAAGTCCGATGAGAAGAAGCATCTTTAACTTATAACCCTTTCTATTTTTGTATATTTACTGAATTCATTTTCTATCCATAAGCAGGCAGTTTTCTAACAGTATCAATTATGTGCCATGCATGATACATGTTTCGGCGATCATGTATCTTTTGATACATGACTGGCGAGGGAGATATTTTCCCACAGTAGTTTGCCATTTCTTTCTGCAGTAGACCAGTTGCCATCCAAGTCTATAGAAACCAGTCTGTCCTGCTATTTATCCATAGCTGGAGGAAGAAGAGGATTCATACTTTTCCCAAGGGTATTAGTATGTAAGTGAATGTAATGTATTCAACTGTAATTCAAACTCGGCTGTCCGATTCCTCAATCTGAGCCACTATCTATTACTCCACCATGCCTCCTATACTAGTATAGGTTTTGAATCATTTTAATAATGTTCACAATATGTCAAGGTTGGTAAGAAGTTCCAGCAGTTCTTTGTGATATAGTTTATGCAAGGCTTTTGTGTAATCATTGTTTCCATTTTCTCTTAAACATTGTCGTTACTCATATATTCGGTCTATGGTATTCTCAGCATCTTTCTGTAGAGACACATTTCTGTTGCTTCAAGCCCAGTGAGAAGATACATCCTTGTCTTACATTCCTTTATATTTTTTATATTTATTAAATTCATTTTCTATCTGTATGCAAGTGGCTTGCAGCTAGTATAGATCCCGGATTATTTTAATATCCTTCCCAAATATACCAAGGATATATTCATGAAACAAAGAAAACAGTGCTGAAAACTGCTATGTAATATCTAACTTCCTATATGGCAGAGAATGCTGAACACTTTCCTCACAGATGAAGAGAAGCCATGAAATGTAGTACTACAGAAGGATGCTGAGAATACCATGAACTAAACATGTAAGCAACATGAAAATGTTAAGGAAATTGGAAACAAAAAGGTGACTTGCACAGAAAGAGACAGTTTAAATTTCTAGGACACAATGAGGATAGTAGGTTTGTAAAATTTGACACTCACAAGACATAATGAAGACAAGATTGACAGAGAGAAATATGAATAACCTACCTAATGAGTTTGTGTAAATGGATGGCAGAACAAGAATTGGGGTGGATAATATAAAACAAACATTAAGAGCAACAAAGAATAGAAGCCATGATTATTTATGTCCGGAAGAGACACAGTGCATTGAAAAAGAATGTTTTGTTATTAAATAAGCATAGCTAAGTTTGGCACAAGGCCACAAGTATGGCAAAACCAGTGAGAACAGAACTAAATATTAATGACTGTAAGTTTATCCTGCAGACGTTCCCATCAAGATGAGGTGGGCTTTATGTTTACTAATCATAGGTTAGTTTGGCACAATTATAGGTTATTCAGTGAGGATTACTCATTAGTAATGGTCAACAAGTCTAGCTCACTAATCCTTTTTTATGTGACATTTATGCACAAACTTCATAATATGTTGCTTTGTTTAATGTGTTATAGAAAATTAATTTGATGTTAATCCACAAAAATAAGAATTAAGGTCCTAATTTAATAAAGAAATAAATATCATAAATAATAATAATAATACTCTTTCTTTGTCTCTAACAAATCTGCCTATATTTCTGTCTATGTTTCTGAGATAAGCTACTCTAACTATTTACACTATTTACATTGTTTGAACTATTGCCCTCATCTTTATTGTCATATTCATGCTCCTGGTGGACTAAATAAAGGGTTCACTTCGAAATTCAACTTATATCACCTGAAGAAGGCCAGAGCATACAATGGCCAAAACATTGTGAATATAATAATAAAGATGAGGACAACAGTCCAAACAATGTAAATAGTGTAAATTCTCTCTACCAAAGTTTTCCTGTTTCTTAATACTTTGTTTAGCTTTTTGAAGTCATCATTTGCTAACAGATTTTGGTATCATATTTTTTGTCATCTGGAATGAACATGCAAAGGCATGAAATATAGTAAAAAAAAACTGAAATCAATGTTAGATATCAACATATGAAACTAACCTATGTAGATATAGCTGTTACTAACATTAGCAACATACGAAACTTAAACCCTGAAAATACGTTGCTATCTTTTGACATCTAAAAATAAAGCATTTGAATTTAGATCACCAAGTCATTCAGTCATTTTTATTCAGGCCTATTTTCCTTTTTCATTTTTGCCAAACCCAGTATACAACAAAAAGAAAGAAAAATATTACAACTTTGCCTGAGATTTAAAAAAATGCCATGAAGGTTAACAGTCATAAATCGTACCTATAATAATCAGTATACTTGGAACCATTTCTACATCTCAACAGAAAATTCCTTTAGTTATGCATATGCAACTATAACTCAAAGAAGTCTAAAAAAATTCCACTTTATTTTGATTGATCAGAATTCTGTTCCATTCTCTGAGTCAGGTCATCATCCCTTAAGGCATTCACAGAATAGAATTTTAGAGTAAGTTATCAAATATGATAAGCACCTGGAAAAAGGCTGGAGACTACAAACATTTAAAATATTGTGACTGTAACAACCAATATGTGAATTTTATTGCTCATAGATTAATCTTTTATATGCATATGATGGCAATATCATTTATTACACGTCTATTCAGGCCTATTTTCCTTTTTCATTTTGCTAAACCCTACCCATTATCCATTATTGTGCATGTATATAATGGCAATGTCACTTATTGCACTTCTATGGTTCAACTGTGAACGACTGAAGATTTTTGACTTTATTTTGATTGATCAGAAACCTGTGCACAAACTTCATAATATTTTGCTTGGTTTAAAGCATTTTAGAAAATTAATTTGATGTTAAACTAAGAAAAGAATTACTGTCCTAATTTGATAAAAAAATAAAGGTTTGCATTTAACGTCTTCAAGAATATAAAGATATAGTACCAAAAATTCTATTTCTTAAAGAGTCCTTGTAAATGCATTCATTTTCTGAATGCTAGCAAAGATTCCAAGTTATCGTATTTCCCTGATTGCTATGGAGGTGAATGTCACCTGTGATAGCCCATTGGCAAGCACCATAAGAACAAATCAGAGATGTTCAAATACAATGGTTACAGCGGTATGGAACACCAGTGTGTCATTCAATACAATCGACCTTTTCATTCAGTGCATACCAGTCTGTGATTGTTCCTGCGAGTCACTTGTCGCACTCAGCAGGAATTGGCATCGTTCTTTCGCAGAGTTTTCCAGTGGGGGAGCACGTGGGAGTAAGAAAGAGCTCAGCACCATCCCTTCTCCCTAAGGCAACACATGACAATCAGCAAGAAATAAATCGAGATTATAAAAAAAATATAAAGACAAAAAAAAAAGAAAAACAGAAAGAATTGGTAGAAACTGTAAGCATTGAAGAAGACATCTTTGAATGCCAGAGAGATCACTGTGTGTATAAAACATTGATGCTACTGATGGTGCCAGAGATAATCTTTCTTTTTGTTGAAATGGTCGAAGGAGAAGGGCAATATCTGTCTCAAGAACAAAGAAACAACCTTGAACAAGACTTGAACTCCCATATGTCAGAAGTACATTATTCACAGACTTTTATCAAAATGGATAAATACTTCATCCATTATCTCCTTGATACTCAATTTTTACTTTATATTGATGACTATATTCTCATAATGGTAGTATTTTTCTTCTTAGATTCTTTCACACTCAGTATCACCTTGCATGCTTTATTAACTTGCTTGGGGTGAAATGATTAAAAAAAATGAGCTGATCGTCTTTTATTAATATATAACATATACAGTGAACACCTTGAAGCAGTGTAATGGTTAGCAAGCTTGTCTTGCAAGAACAGTTATGACTGAGTAGTGAGTTTGCTCCTCACTGGGTGTCCCATACTTTTGGCCTTGTGCCACATCTAAACTACAATGGGAAAATCAATATATAACATATACAGACTATGATGGGTAAATCATGGCTGCTAGACAATTTCTGTTATCACATCACCCGTTATATCTGGCCACCTAACTCCCCAGACTTCAACCCCTGTGACTGTTATGTGTGTGGCACAGTTGAGTGTGAGACCAACAAAACATCTTCTAACACCAAATATGAACTAAATGCAAGGATTATGGCAGCATTCACCAACTTAAGGAGACTGTCCAGAAGTGATGCAGGAGATTCCAAAGTTGTCTGGAGGCCATGATTGGAGCCAATGGTGATTTTATTCAATAAATTTAGTCTTTCATATTTCAAAATATTTTTGTGTAATTTTGGTAAATATATCTGTTAAAATGAGATATCAGTGTTATTTTCATTTTTGCATAATTTAGACGACAATTTATTAATCACACCCTTTATATATCTTTTGAATTTTTTTTTTATGTTTATGGTAATATTAGCCATTTCCCTACAAATAAATATTTGGCATCCATTGACTGAGGAACCAATAATGCTTTCAGTTGAAATTTATAAAATCTTTCTAAAAAAAATTTTCAAGACAGTACATTTTTCAAATTCAGTAGCTTTTATCACTCTTTCCAGTATTGATAGGAGCTTCTTTCCCAACCTCTTATTTGAAATAGTGTGAAATGTCAACATCTTGATTATATCATTATTTTGTTTTTGAGTGCTATTTATTTTAGTTGTTGCTGGTATTGGTAGTCCTCAAGTGATGTGGTTTCTGTTATTTCATACAGTTGTTTGTTTCTGATTTGGCAGCACCAGTTGACAATGTTCAAAGAAGGATAATCTCTACCAAAACCCTCAAGCTTCATTTGCATAGAGATCTTAGAATGCGGTTGTATACAACTGACAGTTTAGATATTTCTGAACAGGTTTGGCACCATGCATGGCATCCATATGAATGTCAGGTTGATAAATATGGGGATAGTCTATTTCAAGCTGGTCAATACACAGCTATCATCAGCCTCTAAGTGTCTGTCATAGAGACTTGTTTTAAATTTAGTCCAGAGGAGGACTGATATTGAAAATAAATTTAAAACAAAGCTCTGAAACCGACACTTAGAGGCATACAGACCAGCTTGAAATAGACTATTCCCATGTTGAGGTAATTCTTGTTTTTTTGCTGTTAATAATATATATATATATAAAATTCGCTTGAGGATGAAATGGAACTAATGTCTTTAATTTAATCACAAAATTAAATTCGTGGCTTTTTAGCTTCCATTTTTAAAACATGGTTAGAACTGTGTAGCGAAAAAACCATATTTTAAATCAATTAATTTATAATATATATATATATATATATATATATATATATATATATATATATATGTGTGTGTGTGTGTGTGTGTGTGTGTGTGTACTACAGTCTTTCTCCAGACTTCTCTTACTACCAAAAAATTCATATTTGGATTTTGTACACAATACAATTTGCTAAATTATGATTTAATATTTTGCATGAGAAACATTATATTTTCTCTTTCACCTCTAGCCCCTCAGTAGATATTTTGCGATTACCAAAAAGGTTGGAGATTTGATTCAGGTCAAGGAAATCATCCAGTTTTGCAAAGACATGCTACAACATCTGCAAATATGAATTGGAAAAAAATCACCTTTCAACAAGACAAAGTTCCAAAACTCTTATCTAAATTATGTCAAAATGAATTTGAGTCAAAAAAAAGGGATCAAAACATTGGAAATTATGACTCTCTGACATTTAATTAGCATAGAATGAATTGGATAGAAGAGTATGAACAGTATATCCAGCGAGTAAGAGTGAGCTTTTTCAGTGCTTGAAGAATACTTGAAAGGTCTGCCATGTACTTTTTCTCAAAAGCGGTTGGAAAGAATTCCCAAAATTTGTAAAGTCATTTTACTCATAAAAAATACAGAAATATCTCATTTTAGTATTTAAACAAACAATGAAGTAATGAAAAGTTTGGTAATCCTTATGGATAATCCCAAGGAGGATGTAATCCAGAGAGCTCAATGTCAAACCAGTGCAATTATTGATTCAATTTAATTAGAAGACAGAAAACCTTAAGGGTCCATTGGTTATAATTTATTTCCCCAGGTATATGGCTTTTACCTGGTTCATCAGATCACACTTCCAAGGGTGAAAAATGTTTTAAATTTATATATAGTTCTTATACACTTTTGAGGTGTGGTTTTAAGTTGATGTAAGGTGATATAGAGAGAGGGGTAGGAGGAGTATGAGAGACATGGTTGAAATTAGAGAGGGAGGGGAGAGATAGAAAAATTTTTAAATCTATTTTTATTGAGATATTTAAGAGTAAAGGTTAGGACCAGACATTGACCTATTTAATAAGTCATTTCACAGGAAACAAGATAAAGATAAAAAAAGAGAAGTATTGATATAAGAAAGCAGAAGTGGAAGTAGGGGTTGAGAAAGAAAGGGAAATAGACAGTTTGTAAAGAATAAAAGAATATATATATATATATATATATATATATATATATATATATATATATATATATACATATATATAAAAATATAATATATATATATATATATATATATATATAATATAATATGTATATATATATAAAAAGAATATATATATATATATATATATATATTTAGAAATTTATTTTTCCTATTCTTTTTCTCACTATCAGCTTTGTCCCTGACTGACCCACACTGTGACAATGTAAAATCTACCAAAAATGATGATATATTGTATGAGCCTGGATGCAAATTTATTGTGGCTCGACCAGTAATCAAGGAATTTCCAGACATTTTTATCTCAGTGGATTATTTTCTGTTTTGTGGTCATTTTTTATGGTGAATATTCAGCGAAACAGTATTGTCTGCAAATGACATAATTTAGCTCTTGAAAATATATTTTCAATTGAGCACTGTTGAATGACAAGCTAATTCTAAAAACAACGGTCATTTGCGTAAATGCAAAACTCTTCAGTAAAATGAATGGAGCACTATGGCTGCTTGGCTTTTGTTTACATTTGTAAAAACAATACACTAGATTTGGCTGACTCATTCTGTTGAGTGAAGATGGCTCAGTGGGAGAAGCTCTAACTGACAAGAAATCAGTTAAGTTTCAATCTGGGCTTGAGGCATTCGGTTGTTTAGTCACACTGAGGAGCCTGCGAATCACACACACACACACACACACACACACATATATATATATATATATATATATATATATATATATATATTTAAAAGAAAAACAGACCACTTTAAGGTACCATTATAATAATTTCATCCTCCTTGGGACTATCTATACGGATTACCAAGTTCTTCATAACTTATATATATATATATATATGTAAATATATATATATATATATATATATATATATATATATATATATATTCTCTCATGCTCAGCCTTAGTGGGTTTTTAACCTTTTGGGGTGAAATGATCATATATATATATATATATATATATATATATATATATATATATATATAATGATGATGATGAAAGCAGAGATTTTGAAACCCATGGAAATATTTTATTTCACAAGAATGATTCCTTGGTCCAATCACATCAGACAAAATGGTTTCAACAATAAATGGATCTAAAAATTCCTCCAGGCACAGCCAAAAAAACAAAATATTTAAACATAAGATGAGCTTTAAAATAAAGTTACACTATGTGGGAAAAGAAAAAAAAAGAAAGAGAAAGGGGAAGAAAGAGAAAGAGACATGTATGTCTAGAGAGAGAGATATAGGAGAGGGGGACTAATATAGAGAGGGAACAGTTGTGTATGAGAGTAGACAGGTTGACCTCTTTTCACTGGAAGTGAGATGTATGGTAGAGAGAATAACTTCAAAAAGGAACAAAGAAAAGAGACAAAGGAAAGATAAGAATGTATATATAAAAAAAATGAATATGTATATATATATATATATATATATATATATATATATATATATATATATATATATATATATATATATATATATATATATATATATATATATATATATATATATATTTATATATATATGAATATGTTTTCTTCTTACATTTATCCCAGTCACTGGATGAATGGAAACATATTCATATATATATAAAACAGTTTAGTTGGATTATATATATATATATATAAAATATAAATATATATATATATATATATATATATATATATATATTATATATATATATATATATATATATATATATATATATATATATATATGTAATCCATCCCATATATATATAAAACAGTTTATATATATATATAAATATATATATATATATATATATATATATTTATATATATATATATATATATATATATATATATA